TACATTCCGTCTTTAAATTTTTTGAGTATCCGAAACCCTTAGCTGGTAAAATTAAATTTATAACAGCAATAATTGCAATAATTTGAGTGAACAATCTGTAATTTTTTGTCACAATATTTGTATGCATATATATAGATAACTGTTATACATATGCACGTTTAACTTATTTCTACAGGAGAAATATTCACTTTAATACATTACATACGAGTACATATAATTACATTAAATGTAAATATGCTACCGAAAATTTTTTTTCGATCCCAAAATACTTAAATATCTTCAATCTACTCAAAATTATTGCATATTTTCATTTTTTTTACGGTTTATGATAATTAATTTAACCTAAAATTTAATATAACAATTGAATATTCATGAATTTCAATACAGCGCAAAAACATACATTATTATTATATTTCATACAGCTTATATCAATTACAAAATCCCATCTTCAATTGCATCATTTTTATACATGTGATATTATTTAAGTACTTGACATGTCTTTCTCCCCCTAAAACTTACATAAAATCATATACATAAGCAAATAAATATAAAATGGAATAAAATTATGTATATTAATTGCATTTCCTGACTATATTATAATTTTGCTTTTTTTTATCTATAGCCATTGTGACCCCTTTCCAAATATCGCAGAATTCACAAAAATAAAATTCGTTTGAAATTTGTTGAATATTAAACTTTTTAAATTTTTTTGCAGGAAAATCATAATTGATTCTAAAAATTTTTTGTGAACTACACTCTGAAAACAATAAAAGCTCAACTTAAGCAAGTCTATTATATTTTTGACAATTTTTTTTGGTCTTTTCTTGTCTATTTAATAGATTACAAGTACCATATTCAAATGATAATAATTATGTAATTTTAGATAATTTCGATATTGGTGAAGCTAAAAAAATTATCATAATATTTTTTTTTTATTACCATTTAACAGTTGATTTTATAGGTCGTTGAAATTAGTTCATTCATCACGACTAACATCATCTCTTTTCTACATAATACATATTAATCGCCACAAATGGCAATTTTTAACATTTTCTCAAATGTTATACACTTGATAACACTAAATTAATCTATGAAAATGAAATGAAAAGAAAAAGAAATAAAAATTTTGTAAATTCAAAGTTATTTGAACGCGAATTTTTTCTATTTTCCTCTTTTGTCTTACCGATATATTTCAAGAGGGACGCATCCACTTTAAAACGATTTTGAACTCGAACCAATTTTTTTAACACATAAGCGGTTATTATTGTTATTTTTACATATAAAATAAAAATGTTGCATCTTTAAAAACAACAAAAAAGAAAAAAGGAAAAAAACTTAACGTTGAATAAATTGTTAAATTTTTTTTTTAACCATTTGGTTCTCAAAAATTTCTCACCTTTGGAAAACAAAATTTGGTCATCTGCGGCAATTAAAATGCTTTGAGCCAAAAATAAATACATGCAGATAAGCACTTGGCAACTTATCTATTTTTATGTTTTTGTTTTTTTTTCTTTTACTATTTGTAAAATATAGGTAGCACATGTGTATGTACATAAAATGTTGAAGAGAATAGCACATTATAATGTTACGCATACTGAATTGCTCTATACAAACTATTTTTATTAATAGTAAAAAATCTCCTATGTATACGAAAACAAATCGTAGTAATAGGGAAGGGAAATGAATAAGAAATAAATTTAGATCAATTTTTCATTTAAACTATATACTAATAATGTAAAATGTGGTATTTGAGTAACTATAAGAAAATTAATAAATTTATTAGGAGAGGAAAAAGAATTTGAATAGATTTTTGGAAAAATTTTTCTATTGAAGGTGATAAAGAAGCAGTTTACTTTAAATTATTAAGTTACTAATACACTTAAAATCTTAAAGTATAATATTATATGTACATCAAATGTGAAATCTTTAAATAATAAGGCAATTATAAATTTTAAAAAATTTTACGCTTACAAAGAGAATATTCACTTTTTGATATCTATATTTGGTAAATTCTGGTAGATCGTGATGAATATATGTGCTTAGACTTGTGCAGAGCTATCAAATTGATTTTCTAATTTTTAGGGGGCTCGTTATAGCCTGTTTGTGCAAAATTGTATGGTAAGTTTTATGATTTCACAGCATGACCACTTACATGGCTAGGAAACTATAATAAGCGGAGTAAACCTGTGTGGTATGGAAATTATTGATATTTTTTTATCGAAAAGTATAGAAACACATCCACGGCAGCCGGATTTGTCGTCAGTAGCTGGACAAGTGATTAACACTTTGAAATATTTGTGCCATGTTTTGATCACGAATGATGAAAACTTAATTTTTGTGTTATTCAAGAGTTATCGGTTTTCCACGCCGTTCCTGTGTTAGCTTTTTTCCAAATCTTTAACATTGTTTTTCTTTATTAGATAGTATGTTGTGCAAGCTTATTATTTTGAGAGCTTGTAGAAATTAGTAAATAGTTTATTTTCTCGAAGGTATTTTTTTCAATTAAGAAAATTTCAAATTCGACTTCTAATATTTCCGAAACTACAAACTTTTCCAAATTGTGATAGAGGCAAAAATCAATGGTAAATGTTAATTAAAACTGTAAACTTTTAATTAATTTCTCATAATTTACCATGAAATTCGACCGTTATGTTAACGTCTTTTTTAATAGTTGTTCTTGCTCCAAAATATATGCAATAATTTTTTTTCAGAACAAATTTAAATTACTTCTACTTGTGTAATGTATTTTATCAAAAAAATAAAGTTTTTAGTTATCAACAATAAGTAAATAAACAAGCAACAAGGAATTTATAAAACTTTTAAACTATTTGACATTAATGCTACGCATTCGATTAAATTCCTCGATTATATACAAACACACAATTTGTTGTATTTATAGCGTTATACCTTGAAATATTATACACACCAAATTGTATCCAGTTATAAAAAGGTTAAAACGATAATATGACATTTGTTTTGACATTAAAATCTCTTATGTAAAAAATAATATTATTGAAAACATTGTACAACATAATGCACGCATTCTTTATACTGCCATTAAAATTGAAATCTTCATCTGAAAAGAAGATGAAAAACATTGAAATAATATTCTCAATAATATTATTATTCTTCAAAACAACTAAGTCAAATGCACTGAACAAAAATTATATGACAATTGTATATTTTAAATGTGTGTACTTAAAAAATTCCTCACTTTCCAATGAAATCAAATTGAAATAAATATTATGTTTTTTTTTCCGATATTTATCGGGATCACTTGAACCAGATCAAAAACATTTATTTAACACGAAAAACTAAACAAATTTGACATAACACTTGTCATTTAAGATTTTAAGTATACACATAAGGTACACATAAAATCTGTCAAAGGTTATACCTACCACAATATACTTTCAATTAATAATGAAGGTCTTACATTATTATACAGAAACTAAAAGTTCAAAATTTCATTGATGACAACAAGTGGACCAGTTAATGAAATTTCTGATTGTATTATTATTATATGTATATATATATATATTGTATAAAAGATACAAAACGGTAAGTTGTAAGGTATGCGTAAATATTATGAAGGTTTTTCTTAATTTTCTTTTCTTTTTATATTTCTGTGAATCTCTAAAATAAAATTTAATAGTTCTCACCTGAATTTGTTTTTCTTTTCATTTTTCTTTTTTCTTTCGCTAATATTTTAAAACAATGTGTAATAATTATATAATTCAATTTATAATAACTAAAGAAAAATATTATAAATGTAGTGTGCTGAATCTTTTTTTCAGTTCATAACATCAAATTTGCACAGTATTGAAAATGAATAGTTCCAAATAGAACTTATATTATTAATTTTGAATAATATTTTCAATTCGTTTGAATTAGTGCGAATTTTTGAATTTTTATTTAAAATTTGGGAAATCATTTAAACTTCATTTAAAATTTCGATTTGAATTCGAACCTGCAGTCTTTAATTTTAATAAGTTTATTTTGTCATAATCGTAAGACCAGTTAATGATCTATCACCACCTTATGTTAAAAATAACATTGAAAAAGAAAAATTCTTGAAGATGAACTTTGTGGTCCCTCTTGATTTAGTGTCACTTCTTCGGCTTGCTTATTGCATTTTTGTATTGTTAAAATAGTTTAGTTTGGACACATTTATCTCACAGTTGCTTTTGTCAACTCCGAATTTTCACGTTTATATGATTTTGTTAGTATTTATTGTTGTTTTTATTCTTCTTCTTTTTTTATTTGTTTTGTTTTTTGATCTCAAGTGATAATAGTTTTTTTTTTGGAAAAGTTCATATTTTAAAGATTTTAAAATCATCTCACAATTTTTATATTTTTTATTACTTTTTTGCATAATTTGAATAATTTTTAAAGTTTTTTGTTTCTTCTGTTGTAGTTTTGAGTGTTTTCCATCAAGAAAATTTTTTGTTGGTTTTGGAAATGAAAAAAAAATTTTGTAACCTATATATTTGGAGTTTCTCAACAATCAGTTATCAGTTTCAAATTCTATCATCTATCGTGCGGTTTTAACATCTATTCGCTCTCTAAATAAAAAAAAAAAATTCGGAATTATTTGTTCGAAAAAAATATTTTTTTTTTCAAATTTTCGGAAAAAATATTTCGAAAAAATAAAATTTTCTATCCTTTAATATCCTTAAAGTAAAAGTTAAAACGCAAAATAAAAATTAGTTATCCTTAAAATCAATAAATAAAATTAAAAGTTTAAAAAATAAATATATATATATATATATAAATTTAAAACGTAAAATATGAAGCGTTTACTTTATGTGATATGGTATTTATTAAGCGTAAATTTAATAAATTGTGAACCAGAACCAAGTTATGGTGTTCCAAGTATTTTATCACAACAACAAAATAATATACAAGGATTACAACAACAATTGCAACAGCAACAACAACAACCACAACAGCAACAACAACAACCACAACAACAACCGCAACAATCAGGATTTATTCAAATGTATAGAAGTGATACAAAATATATGAGTCAAATGACATCCACTGAACCGAATCGTTTTAATTCTGGTAAGGGTATGTCAATTTTGTACATGAATATTTTATGTAGGGTAATAGAATTGCTCATATATGTATAATGACGAAATGAATTGAATTCAATGGATTTACATAAATTGATTCAATAAATTTCAGTTATATAATAAAGTCTATTTGTTTATATGTATGTATACAACAATAGAGCAATTTAATTAATTTTCAACGTTAACCGTTTTATTGAGAAATATTCTCAAGGATATACGTATATGCAATGTAGTTTTGCTGTTCTTTTCTATAAAATTTAGGAATGTTATAAGAATTTCGATATAGAAATAAGGGATAGAAAATAACAAAAAAATTTCCCGTGTTTTTTGACAATTCTATCTAAAGTAAATATTTACCACTAAAATTATGAATTCTCATTAATAATTTTGTTAAATTTTATTAAAAATATTAATTGGAATTGGTTTTATGTTCTCACCGTAGCTAGGGATGTACTTTTAATTAAAAAGTTGGAGGCTTCACTAGGGTTATTTCACCTTACTTGGAAATATAAATCACAATTCACAAGTCGTCGAATAATAAGTTTTTTACTTATACTCGTATTCCTAGAATTATTGTAATAATCGTGCAATTTTATCTTAATAACCAAAATGCAAAAAGTCCATTATGATTTTATTATGTGTAGGTACTAAAAAATCAATTATTCAAAATTTCGTTGAATTGATATTAAAAATATTTGTCAAGGACTCTAGTGATTTTTAATGCTCTTTCTTGTTTTTTATATTGTGGCACGCAATTAAATTAGCAATTTCAAGAGGATAATTTGAAAATGTGGTTAAAATTTTATGAATAAAAATATTATATTTTCTTTTTCAAGTGGATATAATTTTTTTTTTTTGAAAATATTATTGTATAATTAGAAGTTAATTAAAAATAATATTGCTTTCGCCATTTTTAAAATTACCAAATTATATCAAACACAATAAACTGAATTATCCATTTAAAATCAATTGAAAAGAACAGTTGAAAGAACAATGCCATAATATGATATTATTGGCCATTTGAATCCCAATTCTATAACATGACTATGTGAGCAACCAGTTCATACGACACATAGTACCTAAAATTATGATTACATATTGTTTTGTTTACAATATGTAAAGCAATACAAAAATACGAACGGATCTTATTAATATTTCTACTTTTGGTTATTGACAATATTTCCCAATCCATTCCTCTGAAATAACCCTTCCTTCCACAAATTTAAAATTGTCGTAAAAATACCCATTTTGATTTGTAGATGAAAAGGCGCCTTCGAATAATAAACTAACCTGAAAGAACACATTTTTAGAAAGATTCAGTTGCATCTAATTTGAAGCTATAAAACTTATATAATAATATAATCTTTAAAAAAATTTTCTAAACATTTCAGGAAATCAACAAAATTCATTTCAAGGTCAAACAATGTTCGCAAGCCAGCAATCATCATCATTTCCATCAACACAAAACGCACATTTACAAACAACTTTTGAAATACAACCAAGTTATGGTTATGATTTAGGATCAATATCACAACAAGAACCTATTCAACAACAATCAAGTGGGCATGATCTTTTTGGTTCTCAATCACAAGATAAATCAAATCAAATAAATACACAACAAGAATTAAGCACTGGTGAAAGTTTTCTACATCCCCAAAGCACACCATTTTTTCCAACACAAAATAATCAATATATTCCACCAGCACCACCATCATCTGTAGCACCATCATTATCATCATCTCAATCACCACCACCACCAGCACCAACTCAACAACAAGAGCTTCCTTTACCTCCAACTGCATTCCCGTCACAACCACTATTTAATCCACAACCAATTAGCAATGACATATCACCACCATCACCTGGTTTAAATGCACCTCCACCACACCAACCACCATCTCCATCAACAACAGCACATACAGCACCATCTTCAGCACCATCATCCAGTTCATCATTATATGATGATAATTCATATCAACCAACAGCTTATGATTCAACAGATGGTTATTATCCACCAGCAAAACAAACAGTTCACAAACATATATATGTACATATACCACCAAAAGATTTTGATGAAGAAGCACCACGTCAACATTTTAAAGTTCCTCGGCCTGAAAAACATTATAAAATTATTTTTATTAAAACACCAACACCAACACAACCCCAACCAGTTGTACCACCCCTACCACAAAATGAAGAGAAAACCCTTATTTATGTTTTACATAAAAAACCTGAAGAACCAGAAGATGTTACTATACCAACACCAGAACCAACCCAACCCTCTAAACCCGAAGTATATTTTATCAAATATAAAACAAATAATTTACCTGCATTATATGGGGCACCAACTCCACCATCTGAAGAAGATGCAACTGCTGCAGCTGGTCATGGTTATCCACCAGCTTTACAATCATCAGGTGATGAAAATCGATCACAACTTATTGAACCAAGAAATGGAAACGAACATATTGGTAATAATGGTATTGAAGTAAGTAACACATTATACAATGCCACAATTACAAATCTTCATCGATACTTTTAGCTTCTCTATATTCATAGGTTTATAGAAGGAATTTAGTCAAAAAAAATTTTTTTAAATATTTCTTACAAAAAAAAAATTTTATAATATTTCTTGTTCTCGTACATTTCTTTGTTATTAATAATGATAAACTGTATTTGTTTTTGTTATGTCTCTTGAATGAAAAGAGAAAAGATATTTTGATGTAAAAAAAAATAAAAATTTTGTAATAAAAGTGCTGTAAATAAAGTTTTACAATAATTTCTAAAAAAACACTTGTTTTATACTTGGTCTATTTCTCTAATTTAGTTTCGAATATATTGACTTTATATCAGCATTAAAATTCTTCTCTCTTTGATTATTGAAGTGCAGCGAAATTAACGGTAAAAGAAAAACTCATAACAATCAAACAAGCTTATAGTGTTTTTCTCTTTCTGCGGTATAGACTCAATATGCACTTCGGTATTTTCTCATACTGATTTTGACTTGCAAGACGACATATAGATTCGCTCAAATTACGTAATCACTATGACTTTTTAATCAAAGTCCAATTTGATTGCAAAATTTGTTCTCTCACAATTTTTATGCCAATTTATTTCTTTCAACATATTTTATCCAAAAAAATTAATTCAATAGTCAAAGAGCTATTATAACGTAATCATTAAATAGTTCACATAACTGCTAACATTAAAATGAAAATTAAAATAAAAAAGAAAAAAAATTTTCGGAAAAATTATCAAAATCATTTTTAAATTTCCGTCCTAGAAAATCTATTTAGTGTAAAAGTTGACCTTCAAAGGTAGAAAACTCTCACATCAAATTTTAATTCCATTTATTCGCCAATAAAAAAAAATTAACGGAATTTATTTGATTAATTGGCTTTTGTTTCGTGTGCACATGAATTTGAAGTGAATGTGAACTAAATTTTAAATTTAAACAATAATCGCTTTTCCAGTTTATTACACAATCTCGTACTCCAAAATTAATTAATACAAAAAAATTATTTATTTTTTTCTTTTAAAAACCAACTCTTCATAGAGAAAGTATTTAACTTATTTCTTTGATGAAAAATTAGCATGTTATGCGCTGGTATATGTTACGATTTTTGATTTTCGCGAAAATAATTGAGGTTATTTTAAAAATTTTTAGCTTAAGGTCTGTGTTCAGAAATTAAATTTTCCACATATTGTGACAATTTTTGTCGTGAATTAGCTTCAATAGCAGAAAGACATGATATTTAATAAAGATTTTTATACCCGTACGAACGTATGTTCGAAGGGTATACTAAATTTGCCTTACCGTTTGTAACGCTAAGAAATAACGGTCTTAGATATAGACTCATGTGTATGTTTTTGATCAGCATCAAATTCTAAGTTGATTTAGCTTTGTCTGTCCGTCCATCCGTCCGTCCGTCCGTCCCAACGATAACTCAAAAACAAATTGGGCTAAGTTCACCAAATTTTCACAAATGATTTATTGTAGTAAGTGCTAGAACCCTATTTAAATTGGACAAGATCGGGGTACCGGTTCGGGTAGCTGCCATACAACTTCAAAATTTATTTGGCTATATCTCAGAAACTATAAAAGCTATGGTATTGAAATTTCACACAAACGAATATATTATTAGTAGGGCCAATGTGTCTGATAAAAGTCGTTGAAATTACTTGGCTTCTTCTGGTACCTGCCATACAACTTCAACAGTAGTTTGGCACATACAGTATTTTGAAAAACACATTGTACTGTAATTTTTCATAAATTAATATACGGCAACTCCCTAGTCAGTTATGGCATCTTTATTCGCATATAGAATAACAAATAAAATCTCGTTTTAAATAAATCCCAATGTATTCCCAATTTTCCCATGACTTATGTAGTCACATACCCGTGGTTGTATTAATTTAAACACAAATATTTGCAGAAAGAAAAGTACAACAACGCTACAAATGTTTTCCCCCCCTACTTTACCTCTAGGATACAGGGATACAGGGCTGGTGCATAATTCCACAGATAGGCACGCCCTAGTTTCGTGCGTCATTGTGTTTTAACTAGGCGGCTAACTAGCCAGTGTTGTAGTTTTTTTTGTGTTAAATATTTATTAAGATATTAATTTATTATTTCATTTTTCCTGGTATAAAATATCGAATATAATGGAAATGTTCGTAATTAGTCTTTCATATGAATTTAAATATTATTTTTTATGGTAACAAACGGTGCCATAACCACACTGCACTATTGATTACGCTACATTACAAAATATATAGCGATTGAAATTCTTTGAGAAATAATTGTGAATAGAAAAATTTTTTCACTGTTTCAACATAACATTTAATTGACAGCGAAAAACTTTCTGTGGAATAAGGATCTAATTAAAATTGACAACCTTGTAATTATAGAGGTTTCTTTACTTCAAATTGTACGTACATTGTACCTACAACCATTTTGAAATTTCTGAATACAATATAATTGTTTTCCATATTATGATTAAACTAGCAATATTATATTTATGTTATATATGTACGTATATTAGCTATGTGGAATACATACTCGTATGTGTGTACATGGAAACTAAGGACATAATGTGATATTGGCAACAGGGAATAAATACTAAAGAATAAATTTCATGGTAACTAACCTGAAAACTATTTTAGATAAATTGTTATCCTTTTTCACCCAAAATACTTATTGTCAAATTTATATTATACACAATCGTATATGCATACACATGTGCTTTATATATATTATGTAAGTTTAAAAATTGTCTCTGAGTAAAATGTTCTGAATAATAAAATTTGAAATTCTTTCATTAGAAAATTTCATTCATTATAATTGTTCTACATAATCAATATTTTTTATATTGAGAAAATTCTAAGGTAATAAGCGAGAAGATTAAGCAAATAATTAGATTTACTTAGAACTAGATTTTAGTAAACCATTTGAAAAATATCATCTATAGGGCTTAATCTATATTTTATTGAAATTTTAATTTTAAACGTAATTTAGTATATTTACAATTCTGGCTACTTCCGTTAAAGTTTTAATTGTACCATATTAAAAACTCCATTGGATGTAAAAGCTCCAGGAATATTAATCTATAACAATTTAAACATGTAGCTCACTTATGTATATGTAGGACTACATAGAATTTTAAAATATTCCTATAAAAGATCGGAAATAGAACCACTTGTTCATTTTGTCTTTCAGCAAATAAATGGAAAACTAAATAAATGGTTTGATCAATGAATATAGATAATTGTAGATTGCAGATTGAATATAGACAATGGTAATTTTATACAGAAAAATTTTAATGAAAATTTGAAATTAAATTTTGTGTAAAAGGAAAACTATTAATTTATAGAATTATATTAATTCTAAATTCATTTGATGTTGAGGGCATTTTCTATTACTAAAGTATAGAATTTCGAATTTCAATAAAATGCATGATTTATTTTTCAATAAGCCTTTTACAAAATTATTTTGTTTTTTTGTAAATTTTGTGAAATTTTTATATAACTAATTAATTCTTTATTTTATTTTTAAATACATTCTTTATAACTAGATTATTTGTATTTATATAAGTTATATACGAGTAATACTATCTAAATTCAAATTTAAATATTTTATTTTAGTCTTATGAATGCATGATTGAATAATTTTATATACAAAATATCAAAGGTCATTTACCTCTCTTTTACTCTTTATTTTAATTTTATTATATTTTAAAATTATTTAATAAATTATCTGGAAATTATTTTATATGCACATACATACATATAATATGTATAACAAAAGAATTTATAATTTATTATATTATTATATTATGCTTTATATTATTATACAAACGTATATCGTAATTATAGTGCCTATGTAGATGCAATATGAAAGAATTTCTTCCTTTTTCCAAGATAAGAAATAAACTCATAATATTAGCACAAATAAATAATTTTCAAAATTCATCTATCAAAAATTTGTTTCCGATATTCTTTGGAAAAAAGGTATATGCATAAGATAAGACTGTAAGATGTAAATTATTTGAAACAATATTTTATATTATGTTATGCAATTTATTATCCTTTTACATTATATTTCATATATTTATATAATATTATAATAATATTTATATACATAACGGATGTTAAGATCAAAATTCAAATAGATTTAATTAAAATGAGATTACCGGTTGCTCCAATTTCATGTTAGTTGAATTAAACGTCATTATATTTAGATTATTTACGCTCAAAATCGTTTATACCACTTTTTACTCAGTCCGTTCCTCTGACCACGTGTCGGTTAACAAAACTTCTACTATCTTTAAGATAGAAAGCTGAAATTTTGCAAATAAAAATTTTACTGTTAACTTATTTTTCTAAAACAAAATCTTCACTTATATGCCCAGTTAAAGTCACACAAAATGCTAAACATGCATAGTTGCACATTAAAATGACAAAATGACCGTCAAAATTACCTATTATCTAAAATTCTTTTTTTCCAAATTTTTAAGATCGTTTATTTTCCAGACGATAAGTTGCAGCTATTGAAATTTTATCATCTTTTATTAATAAATTATAAGAGAAGCTATCGCCTCTCGAAATTCGTAAAATTTAAATTTTTTGTGTCGTATATTTCTGAAATTGCAAGCTTTTCTAGATTTATATAAAGCAAATGCAAACGGTAGATGCATGCCATCAAAAAATATAATTGCTTATCTTAATTTATGAAATTTGCCTTTGAATTCGACTATTATGTTAAGGCTTCGTTTAATATTTATTTTTTGTCTCACCCTGAATGTATGCAATAATTTAAAATATTTTCGTATTTTAATGAAGGTGCGAAGTTTTGGTATTTTAATCACCTGTTCAGAGGAAATGCCTTACAAGCAATTGCTTTGATCGAACTTTAATTAAATTTAACATTGACGAAATCTAGAATTTCAAATTTCTTACCATTTATAACGCATTTTTAATATTGCATTTTATATAACAATTATTTGCCTTTAGTTCTGAATCCGATAGTTTCAACTGGATAAT